GGGTGGGGAGGACAAGCCCGGCTCCACCCTCATCCCGTGAGGCCCTGTGTGTCTCATCACTGGGGTCCCAAATGTGACTATCCAGTGGCCTCAGATGGATGGCGGCCACTGGGCCGCCAGGGGGAACAGGCCAAGGCACGAAACCTATTCCCGCCTGGGTTGGCCCAGCACCGGTAGCCTACTGCAGAGACCAGACGCATTTCTACCTAAAGCCACTGGGTTCTGAGATTCGTTTCTGAGTCTCTGGGATCATGTCCATTAAGCAGTTCAATCAGGAACCAAAGAGGCCTTGCCTCCAATTATATAGCTGAGCCGGAGGTGGTTTGCGGGTGTGTTTCCCACATACCTAACTTTTGGCCGTTTACTTTCTTGGTAAACTTTGCCCCAAGTTTTTGGGGTCTGGCCAAAGGCACAGCAGCAATTTGGGGGCATCTGGAAGTCTGAAGGTGCCACGAAGCTGCTGATGCACTTGCCTCACAGGTACAGATTGACCTGCTGGCGGCACCATACCCCCTAACTTTCATTTTTGTGCTGAGCTTATTCCTGGCTCTGTACTAAGGGGACACTCCTGGTGATGCTTGGGATATAAATGATCTAGGACAAGTGCTTCAACCCCTATCCTAGTATCTCCAAACCCACAGAGTATTTTATTTTTTGGTTTTGGGGTCACACCTGGCAGTCCTGTGTGCACGGAGGGATCACTCCTGGTGGGACTCAGGGGTTGATGATGAAACCCAGTTTTGGCTGTGTGCAAGGAAGTGCCCTATCTGTTGTCCTATCACTTCATGCCCACACCCACACTATTTTACGTACATCTGTTAATGAATATAGAAAAAGGAATTGGAGAAGATACTGGTGGTGGCAGAATGTCACCTGGGCTGCTGTACCTGGAATCCTGGTGGAAATCAAGGTGGAAAAGGCTTGCTTCAAAGTAGGTCTGGAGGGGGCTGGAGAGATAGCACAGCAGGTAGAGCGTTTGCATTGCACGCGGCCGACCTGGGTTCGATTCCCAGCATCCCATAGGGTCCCCTGAGCACCACCAGGAGTAACTCCTGAGTGCAGAGCCAGGAGTAACCCCTGTGCATCGCCAGGTGTGACCCCAAAAAAAGCAAAAAAAAAAAAAATAATAAAACAAAGTAGGTCTGGAGAGGTGTAAAGATTCTAGCGTGGCGTATTCATTTGTTTCAGTTTCAGTAAAAGGTGTCATTTCCCATTCAAAAAACAAAAATCTTCAGTTGGGTATGTGCTTTGCATTCAAGAGGTCCAAGTGTGAGCTCCAGCAGCATCAGGAATAACCCTGAGCATAGATAGGGCCAGGAATATCTCCCGAGTATCCCCAGGGATAGCCTAAAATTCTCTTCTTCAAACTCTGAATGACTGAAGAGAGCTCAAAGGGCTGGAGCACATGCTTTGCATGCTGAAGGCCTGGTTCATTCATCTACACCACAGTCTCCCAAACACTCCTGGGGAACAACCTACAATCACCTCTGGAAGGTGCTGAGTACCTATTTTGGAAAACAAAACCCTCAGGGCATTTATTTTGATTCTGGGTCCACACCAGCAGTGGTTAGGGCTATTTCCAATATGCTGCTCCGAGTTAGCTCCAGGCAGTGCTCAGGGGCCATTGGAGTGCTTGAGATCAAACCCCAGGTTCCTGCTTGCCAATCATGGACCCCAGCTTTCTGAGCTGTATCTCCAACCCCTTCACTGAGGACGATTCGTCCTAGAGGTTCTGGAGCTTTTTGTTCCAAAGTGGACTTGCAGAGACAATGACAGGAGCACCTGGGAGTAACCTTTCCTATGTAACTGTTTCAGAGCGATGGCTTTTTATGCAGAAACAAATTCTCAACACTTGTCTTCAAAAATGTTAAAATATCATTACTATTTATGAAGCTCTTGATGCTGAATGCACAGGATGATGAGTTAGGGTTAAGGCACTTGCTTTGCATGCGGCCGATCCTGGTTTGATCACTGGCACTACATATGATTTTCTGAGCACCTGCAGAAAAGACCCCAGAGGGGCTGAAGTAATAGTGCAGTGGGTAGGGCACTTGCCTTGCATGCACCGACCTGAGTTCAATCCCTGGCACCTCCTATGGTCCCCCATGTACTGCCCCCAAACAAAACAAAAGAACCCAGAGGAGATAGCCAGGAGTAATTCCTGTGCACTGCTGGGTGTCATCCAAAACTTCACTCCCCAAAAGTTCCCTTAAAGCCACTTTTCTACCACTGTGGATGGTAGAAAATGGTACTGTAAGTGGTACTCAGCCCTGGATGATGAACAGATCCTATCAAAATTGATCTATTCGGGGTCAGAGTGATAGTACAGTAAAATTGCCTTTCATGCAGTCAATTCAGGTTCAATTCCTGTCACCACATATAGTCCCTTGAGCCTGTCAGGAGTAATCCCTGAGCACGGCTGGTGTGGCCCAAAAAATCAATCAAACAAACCATCTCTTCACAGACGTTGAGACTGGAGCTCTCCACTCCAGTCCTGCTATCGCCCTCTCCCCCAGAGCTCATAATGCCCAGCATAGCGCCCAAATTCAGGCCAAGTCAGTCTCCTTAAGTGATGTGAGAGGCAAGGTAATTCCTTCCATTTTTTGGGGGGGTGGGGGTGGGGGTTACACACAGCGATGCTCAGGGGTTACTCCTGGCTCTGCACTCAGGAATTACTACTGGTGGTGCTTGGGGGGCCATATGGGATGCTGGGAATCGAACCCAGGTCAGCCACGTGCAAGGCAAATGCCCACAGCTGTACTGTAGTTATGGCCCTCCTTTGAAATTTTTTTTGCAAAATAACTTTCACCTTGCTCCCTACCTCTGACTCTGACCCAAGAGCATAATTCTTCTTCCTGGGAAGTGATGTTTAGCTAATCCAGCCAACCAGTACATACTTACTGTGAATTTATCTCTTCTCATAGCATCTGGTCCATGCCATCACCATTCACACAACATGTATTTATTGAACACTTGCTAGTTGCTAGCTGGGGACAGAGCAGTAAAAAACTGGGGCCACAGAGATTGTACAGCAGGCAGGGTTCTTGCCTTGTGTGTTGATGACCTGGTTTCAGTCGCTGGCCCCCCATATGGTCCACTGAGCACCACTGGGTGTGACCCCCAAACAAGTAAAGTAAAGTAAAGGCCCTCCCGTTGTTCGTCAATTTGCTCGAGCGGGCCCAGTAACGTCTCCATTGGAGACTTTGTTGTTACTGTGTTTGGCATATCGAATACGTCACGGGGAGCTTGCCAGGCTCTGCCGTGCGGGCGAGATACTCTCGGTAGCTGGCCGGGCTCTCCGAGAGGGGCGGAGGAATCGAACTCGGGTCGGCCATGTTGGCTGCGTGCAAGGCAAACGCCCTACCGCTGTGCTATCGCTCCAAACAAGGCAACAATAAAAACAACCAAATTTCTGCTCTTCTCATTCTAATGCTCACTAAACCTAAACACTGTAGCTTGTGTCACAAGCATGGATCATCTCTTACTCCCAATTCTGGTTCTGGTGCACAGGACAGAGAGGGGCATGGAATGGAGATGTCAGGAGAAACTCAGTTCTCCAGGATGACACATTGCAAGAACAGATGGCACACCATTAGGATGTTGGTTCAGGATGTCCACTGGGCATCTTCCCTCCCATCTCTTTTTCTTGTCGTACCTGCCAGTGCCTTGCGATCACTCCTGGAACCCCGGAGTCCTACTTGCAAATCAGGCATCTCCCCAGCCCCTCCCTCATTATAATTCCATTCTTTCAGTTAAAGATCTCTCCTTCACGAGACCAGACCTTTCTCCACTGTGTGGCTTGAACCATGTTTACTTGAATGTTATTGCTTATCAGTTTACAGATGTTGATTCTGTAGGGCCACGAATTACTCTGTTATTCCCCAATACGCTAGAACCAGCTCTGTTAGATTCACCCAACTTGGAATGCATTACTTTCTGAGACTCTTTCCTCCTATTTCCTAACTAAAACTCCACTGTTTGTCTTCCTCTGAAATTGCTATGAAAATAGACAATGAACCCAGGTGGAGATTCACACCGTTTTTCTTTTTCTTGCAAAGAGTATGACCTCATCCCATTCTGAGAATGAGAGCAAAATTTCAAACGGTAGGGACTAGACTGCACACAGTGGAGATCAGGTGGGACCCAGGTGTGGCCTGAGAGCTGCCACAGGTTTTCAGACCTTTAGCAGTTCTGACTGATATCCCTGGGTACTCGATCCACCACCAACAAAACTATTTTTTGACTAAATTATTCCCACTTTGTCATGATCAAAATAGACCTTCTAAATGGTGTCTCATCCCCAAATATCCCAAGTTAGTGATCACTACCGACATACTCCAGAACTAGTGAAACAAACTGAACCTACTTAGAACATCCTTGGACGAAATCGTACTTGCTAGGTCCTGGAGTTCTACTTTTTTGCCCACTCAGCTGGGACCTAAAGGGACTGACATTCTGAGGTGGGATTGCTAATCTGAAATGTGGACTGCTAACCTCAACGAATGGATTTTTTTTTTTAATTTAAATTTTGGTTTTGGGGCTACAACTGGTGATACTCAGGGGTTACACCTGGTCCTGTACTCAGGAATTACTCCTGGGGTGCTGGGGGACCATATGGGATGCTCTGCAAGACAAGCACCCTACCCTCTGTACGATCTTTCTGGTGATGGCTAATCTGAGGCAGGGCCTGAAAATCTAGGTGGGGACTCCTAATCTTAGGTACAGTAAGGCTGGCTTTCTTTTTTTCCCCTTTTTTTCTTTTTGGGTCACACCTGGCGATGCACAGGGGTTCCTCCTGGCTCTGCACTCAGGAGTTACACCTGGCGGTGCTCAGGGGACCGTATGGGATGCTGGGAGTCGAACCCGGGTCGGCTGCGTGCAAGGCAAATGCCCTAGCCGCTGTGCTATCTCTCCAGGCCCCAAGGCTGGCTTTCTTTTTATCTAACCTCATTAGGATCGAGGTATGCGGAGTTGGTGCCACCATTTAAAAACAACACACAGACAAAACAAAAATAAAACTTTATTTACAGTTGAAAACAAAATCCTGGGTCCTGAATCCGTGCTACTTCCAAGGTCTCTCTCTTGACCAAACAGGGCGGCAGCAGGCAAGGAAGCAAATGGGCCAATCCTGGTTATTCTGCTCAAGAACATCCTTCAGAACAAGACGGCCTGTACAACGGCAGAGGTGTGGAGTCAGTGAGATGGAGAGGGAAGCAGCTCAGAGGAGTGGGAAGGTGATCTTCCATGCGCCCTGCCCTCCTGGACATCTGATCTTTCTTTCCCCAAAAGCAGAATAGGTATGACTCTTGCCGTAGGACTGAATTTTAGTTCTTCAAAGCTGAGAGATATGCTATACAACTGAAAAGAATCTAGCCTTCTCGGCAAGGCAAAGCTTATTATCTCACCTATCATTCACTATTCACAAGTCTGTGCAGTCTTGTGAAACTAGGCAAAAGGAAAAACTGGGTCCCAGTGGAGTTTAATGTCTTGACAGTCAGTGATGGGGTTTCCTGGTCTACTTGGCTCCAAAGCTTGTGTCCTTGTGCCAAACCCTGATGGCCCTGGAGAGCTCTAGAACAAAGAGCAATCCTCTTTCCTGGCACTTCTTACTTTTTTTTTTTTTTTTTTTGGGCCCCAGGGTTACAGAGAAAGGAAAAGTCCACACCCTCTCTTTATGACCTTAGGGTTAGTAGTACTGAAAGGACAGAGTGAGTACAGATACCAGGGTCCCCTTCCCTCAAACAGCCACACCCTTCCTCCGGGGTACTACAAGTCCTGGTGTCACACTGCAGGCCCAGACAGAAGTTTGACCTGAAGCCCACCAGAAGGCAGAACACTGTATAAAGGTTGGGGTTGGAGACAGGAGGACAGAGGCAGCTGGCCTGGGTTAGATCCGTAGCACCCTATCTGGTTCCCTGAACAGTCAGGAGCGGTTCCTGAGCAATACTGGGCGTGACTGCCTAACCAATAAAACAAAGCAAACAGAAACCTCAACCGTACACAGGCACTTGGAAGGAACTGCGGGCTGCTCCCGCGCCAACTCCGCTGTCAAGGGCCAGGCCCAAGAGTGTGCTGGATCCCTAGCCTGAGCTCTCCGTCTGGACAAAACCAGACCCCAGCGCACCCATGACAGTGTGAAGTGTGGTCAGAGAGGGAGAACCTGGGAGGAGACAGCAAACTCAGTGTGGACAGGGCAGAGGAGAGTGAGCGTCCAGGAAATGCTTCAAATTAATGCCAGCCACATGCTCCTGAGCAGGGAGGGGCCAGGGCTGGGTGAAACCACATGAAGGACCCCTATTTCTTTCTGTTGTTTGTGGGTAACACCCAGTGGTGCTGGGGGATGAGGCTTTATTCCTGGTGTCCTGGTGGCAGGGTGCTCCCGGGGTTCCAGCATGCAAAGCGAGGGCCCCAGCCCTTTGAGACATCTCTCATGTCCTCCATGGCAACACTTCTCAATCACTTGGGCCCCCATGGACCTCCATGATATTCCCAGAGGCCACAGGTAAAAATATATATAAATAGGAGTGGGGGCAATAGTATGAGGGAGGGGACAAACCAGTCACAGGGGGTGGGGTAAGAAGGACGGATTATACAGGAAGGAAACAGAGTTGGAAGGGGAACACCGTCAGAGAAAAAGGCTGAGAAACACTATCCTACAGTAGATTAAAAACTATCATAAAATACTGACTTATCATTGACAATCCAAGCATATTCAGAACAATATAAACTGGAAAAAATAACAATAGCAACAACAACAAAAACAACAAAACCCAAAAGACACCTCTTTGCCATAATGCTCCCAAAGGTAAGCATAATCAACAATTGGCATTTGATACTCAAGGCCTAAGACTATGGAAATTTCTGAAATAGCTAATCCATGCAAGCAACATAGTGCTGGCATTATGTCCTATCTCCGGCACCTCTCTTTCCGGTCGCAGAAGCTCCTTAGTGTGTGCCCGCTCTGGGTGTGCTAGCGGAGAGCTTGGCTTTCCTACCAGGCACCTAGCGTGGAGGCGGCTGCCTCCTGTCCCTCTGCACTGACTATTTCTCACATTCAGGACAGGGACAGGGAATGAAGTCACTGCCCTGCAGACATGCCAGTGCTGGCTGGCAAATTTCTGGTGCTCTCTACACCTGTGTTTTCTGACAGAGCCTTTTCTTCCATCCAACAGCAGCAGTGGCTTCTTCCCTGGCTCCAGCCCATCACTAATGCTGCTTTCTTGATGCAAAAAAAAATCACTGTGTTCTACTCAAAACCATTTAGTGGTTTTTTTTTTTTGCCTGTTTTTTTTTGGGCAGGTATGGTGTGTGAGGGGAGAAAGAGAGTTCCTAACATATGGGCTTTCATGGAACCCCAAGGCACCCCATTCCTGTCTCATCTCTCACCCTCTGTTTTTCAAGCCTTCCTGCCTTGGCCCTGATACTCTCAGTTACTTCCTGCCTTTACTCATGCATCAGCCTCCACCTGGAATGTACTTCCCAGATTCAACCCCCTGACAAGTTCACTCCTTTGGGTTTTTTGGTTGAAGCATCCTTGCATCCGCATATCCCAAGAAGCAGACCCAGACACCCTGCATTCCTTGCTTCATCCCCAAACCCTCAATCCAGTGCTCTATCTTAACTCAGTTCTCCCCTTGCAACTGTGACTTCCTTAAATGCAGATGCAGAGGCTTTTCAAATGTGGAGCCTTAAATGGAGGGAGGTTACTGACTTGGCGAAGGGATGAATGGGGGACCAGCCCACGTCACAAAATTTTTCATAATCATCTTTAGGAATGGATGACAACATTTCCAGGTAGTCCCAGAGTGGAGATGGACTGCTACCATTTCCACCATACACAGGTACAATAAATTTTTATTTTTTTATGGGTGGGTAGGGCTCCGAGGCAATGCTCATGGGAGCCAGGGGCCACTTCTGGCAATACTCAGTCAACTGGGCTGGACTGTTCAATGCTCAAGTGATGTTGTCTGGGCCTAGCAGTGCATGGGGAGGCAACCAGTACTATACGATCTGATAGTTCCAGGGGGCCAACTGGTGCTGAGACACTTAAGAGAGCCTTGAGCATGCAAGCAATACACAGGCTCCAGTCCCTTAAGGAGCTCCCCAGCATGGGATTAGTTTAGCCTAATCACTGTAGTGAAGTTTGGATTTCCGTAAACTCCACTATAAACTAAAAGTGTTATGCTAATTATATTCTTTTTTTTTTTTGGTGTGTGTGTGGGGCTTTTTGGGGTCATACCCAGAGATGCTCAGGGGTTACTCCTGGCTTGGCACTCAGGAATTCTCCCCAGAAGTGCTCAGAGGACCATATGGGATGCTGGGGTTCTAACACAGATCAGCCGTGTGCAAAGCTAACGCCGTGCCTGCTGTACTATTGCTACAGCCCCCACTCTTTTTTTGGGCCACACATAGCGGTGCTCAGGGTTTACTTCTGGCTGAGCTCAAGAATTACTTTTGGGGGCTGGAGTGATAGCACGGTGGGTAGGGCGCTTGCCTTGCACGTGGCCGACCTGGGTTCGATTCCCAGCATCCCATATGGTCCCCTGAGCACCGCCAGGAGTAATTCCTGAGTGCATGAGCCAGGAGTGACTCCTGTGCATCGCCAAGTGTGACCCAAAAATAAAACAAAAACAAAAACAAAACAAAGAATTACATTTGGCAGGAACTGGGGAACTACATGGGATGCTGGCAATTGAACCTGGACTGGTCACATGCAAGGCCAGAGCTCTGCCTGCTGTACTATCTGTCTGAACACAATATTCTTTCCTGATATGCGAATATTAAAAGATATTCATTCCAGTAGCACTTCCAGTCGTGTTACCTCCTGGTCTGAGAAGCACTCCATCCCCAGTACCACAGAGAGTTCCCTGAGCACTTCCCGTGAGTGATCCCTAGCACAGAGTCAAGAATAAGCCCTGGGCACAGCTGGGTGTGGCCCCAAATAAACAAAGCAGCATTTGTGGAGTCTGGTTATGGTTACAAGGGCCGGAGTGTGAAATTTACAAGCACAAGTACCAGGTTCCGTACCCGGCACTTTATGGTCCCTCGAGCAGAGACGGGAGCAACCACCAGGTGCAGATCTGGGTGTGGCCAAACGAACAGCCCGCAAAGCAGCAGCATTTTAGGAACTGCCTCGGAAGAGGCAGTTTCTCTCCTAGGGAGGGAATCTGGGAAGCAGCTGGATCACCACTGAACTACCACTTCGCCCCCAAGGGAAGGATCTGGGATGTTGTAGGCTTAAGGAACGCCCAGAGAGATTTTTACTTTTAGGTGACTTTGGGAAACAAAGGAATACAGAAAGACCTAGAGGAGAGTACTAATGCAGACAAGCAAATCCGCCAGAGCTCAAGGCCACTCCCTTTCCCAAGAAAGGGGCTTGTTTCTTCTGTTCTTTTGGTTTGTTTTTGGGCCACACCCAGTGATGCTTAGGGCTTACTTCTGGCAGACCTTGGGGGATCATATAGGATCCTGGAGATCAAATCCAGGTTGGCCTTGTGCAAGGCATGCGCCCTACTTGTGTCCTATAGCTCTGGCATGATTTCCAGGTTTTGTAGAGAAATAATTCCACCAGTGCCCAGGTGGTTGGATGGAGTAAAGAACCCGGTTGGGACTACAGCAGGAGAATCCAGAGCCGAGAATTTGTATCTCCTAAACTGAATTCATTATAAAAAGATTAGACCTGCTGAGATAAAAACCACTATTTCTACAGCTGCAACTACACAGAAACTGTCATTTTCATTAAAACCAAAAACAGGACCTAAGGCAATTCATGAGGGGTTGGAGAGATGGTATCAGAGGTAAGGCACGTGCCTTGCCTGAGACCAACCTGGATCAATACTCAGCACACCATAAGGTCCCCCGAGGACTGCCAGGTGTGGCCCTGGAGCAGAGTTAAGAGTAAGCCCTGAGCACTGCTGGGTGGAGCCCCAAAACGCACATACACAAACTTAAGAAATGCAGTATCTCAGGCCCTATTTAGATTTCCTGAATGAGAACCAAGAAACTCACAATTTTTACAAGATTCTTGATGATTTATGTGCATATTAAAGTTTGAGAAATACTGCCCCCAGTACAACTTAAAAGTATCACTAATAGTGGATGACAACCATTGCTCTGTCCCAAACAACCTGAGGGATCAGAAATATTCCTGTAAGACTTAAAGATATTTG